GATTTTATGGGAAACCAGAATAATTATTTTAATTATTAACCTTTATTTAAACAGGCAAATCCCATTGAGTTCACAGAGCTATATTTTAATTGACGTCTGGGCCTGAAGGCAGCCTAACATGCATGTTTTTGGGCTGTGGCAGAAGACCCACGCCAACACGAGGAGAACATGCTAACTCCACACAGAAAGAGACCCAACCTGGGGCTTGAACCCTGAACCTTCCTGCATGAGGCAAAAGTGCTAACCATTAATCCATCGTGCTGCCCAGTAGATAGAAGCACATTTATTATCTTCTCAGCAGAACTCACAGCCTCATTTTGAATCCGCTGTAACGTTTTCACTTCTATTATTTTCCAAACATGCTAATAAAGATTTATTAATCCGACGGCGAAATAACTTTTAACCAGCCTAAGTTTTGCTGTAGACCAAATATTTCATGAACCAGTATACGTTTTTAATTGAAACTCCCAAAATACAATCATTGGACATAAAACTGATTACCCTTTAATAATCCAAGATGGCTGACGCCACTAAGTGACATCAGACAACACAAATAGTTCAATTTTAACCAATTCTACTGGTATTCATCTAAAGTGTGTCTCTTTTTTCCCCCCAACACTTACACTAAGTGTTCACAGATCATTTTGTGTGGCACTACCTGTTAGGGTCAACACCGTTAGCAAAATATCTCATTAACCAGGAGACAATGAATTTCTCGATAAGTAATCATTAGATGCAAATATGAGCTTTCAGAGTTAACACAAGATTCCTTCTACAGCTACTTTTTTCATTCATTCAATCTTTATTTATACAGGTTAGTCTCATTGAGTCACGAGGACTCATTTACAAGAGAGACCTGATTTAAACAAAAACCACATGAGGTACACACAGCAAAAAACATTCATATAAAAGCATATCAAATGAAAAGTGTGATTTAAAAAACAAAATTTAAAAAACAGGCTGCGTTATAAAACAATGCAGATGCTAAAAACAGGAACATGAACTTAACAGTTGTTTAAAATCCCTTAGGGAGCTGGAAAACCTTAGCAGCTGCTCTAGCTCGACAATAAACAACTGTCGTCGGCATAGAAATGTAAGGATGCATCAGGAATCTGAGCTACATTACTAATGTAGATTGTGAAGAGGATGGGTCCTAAGAATGAGCCTTGTGGTACACCATTGTTGACAGTAAAAAATAGCTGGAAGAAGGCTTGAACGTGGCAAACATCCAAATGGCTTTAACTCTGCATTTTTTTACAGACATTGAACTAAAATGTGATGTTGTAGTAGCAAAGAGTCATATCTCAACACACACTATGGGAACAACAGATCACTTGATATTTGCCAAAGTTTTAAACACAATATGTACTCCTTTGAGGAATGCTAGTTTTGGTTCACAACTTAGTTAGAGCCTTTTGAACCTCAGGTTCTGCAAAATGCTTTAAAGAGTTTTTTTATACACACTCAGTGCTCTCATTTATGTACACACTACATACAGCAAAGGTTTTATATTCTCACCCATACATAGACAGAAATCTTGCAGTTGCCATGGGAAAATCATATAAATCTAATTTGTAACAGTTTACCATTCCTGCTTTCATCCTTTTATGACAATATGTTGTAAAATATTAGGACAATAAAGACAAATAAAGTGTTTACCAGGCCTTAGTTAAACTCTGTCTGTGAGTGAAAGCGATTCTTCATCTCAGCTCTTTTTTTGTAGCTTTAGGGCAGCACAAGCCAGAACAAGCAGATTACTTCTTAAAAACACCTGTAGCCACGTCTTTGCACTCTCAGTAACTTGAGCCCGCCATGTATTTTTAAAGCTTTTACTTCTGGCAAATCCTTGTTTCACATATTAGCTTGTTTCTCGGTCAAACTAACGAATGATAGTAAAGTTATAAAACCAACCGAATAAAAATGATGTTTCCTTTAGACTCACTAAATTGATGGAGAACACAGAAAAGGATGGCAGCTTTACAAAACAGATGCTAAAGGTGGAGCCTGTTGTTGTGGTCCATGTGACGTGGAGGAGGCGTTTAATCACATCGTCAGCAGGAAGGCCAAACATCCAGCCAGAGTGCGTCACAGAACAGATTCTTCTTCTAATAAGTCCTCTGGATCTTCTGTCCTCACAACTACTTCTATGTCCTCACAGAACAGAATCAGCAACACAATTTTTCAGATTTGCAGAAATCTTCACACTGCGAGGCCTTGATCTCAGAGCTGGTGTCAAAGGTCGGAGAAAACGGCCCGAAGACTGAAGCATCCTGTGGGTTTTTCATGATCAGAACTCTCTAAGACTCAAAACATAAAATTAAATTAGACGAAAACCTAAAAAACTGAGAAACAGATGCACAAAACAACAAGCCTGCCACACAAAACTAAAACATTATATTAGGATTATGAATTTAAAACAAGAGCAATTGCATTTCCTGCAAAAACGCAGTGTGAATGATTATTGCTAAAGAACTTACTGGAAAAACAACCAAAATTAGCTAAAAAATGCTGAAATGTAGCTGAAATGGAAGAACAAGTCTGAGTTAGCAGAAGAAAGCAAAAAGAACACATTTGCTGAATTAGGTTTAAATTAGCAGAAATTAGCACAAAAATTAGGAAATTAGCTAAAAAAAAAAAAGAAGCTAAAATTAGCAACAACAACAAAAAAAAATGCTGAAAATTAGCTGAAAAGTCAGAAAGAAGCTTAAACTTCCAGAAGTACATGGTAGGAGCTGAACTGGGCTAAAGAAACATATGAAAATAGCTTAAAAGGCTAATTTTAGCACAAAAACAGGTTAAAAGTAGTTGAAATAGCAGAAAAAGCTGAAACTAGCATGAAAAAGCTGAAAGGAGAATAACAAGCTGAAACAAGCAGAAAGAAGTTAATTAGGCTGAAAATAGCAGAAATTGGCATGAGAAACTTGAATTTATCTCAAACAGCTGAAATTAAATAAACATGCTGGAAAAAAGTAGCTGAATAGGGTAGAACAAGCTTAAATTAGCAGAATAAAACAGAAAGAATATGTTTGCCCAATTAGGCTGAAAGTATAAGAAACAAGCACAAAAATGTGGAAATTATCTGAAAAAGCTTCAATGAGCAAAAAAAAAAAACTGCTGAAATGTAGCTAAAAAAAGCAGAAAGAAGATTAAATTACCAGAAGGAAGGGGAGAGAGCACAATTGTGCCCAGTTAGGCTAAAAAAAAAGTTGAAATTAGTGCAAAAAAAAAAATGGAATTAGCTGAAAAAGCTAAAATTAGCATAAAACTGCTGAAAAAGCAGAAAAAGCTTAAACTTGCAGAAATAAGCTGAAAAGAACAGAAGAAGCTGAAATTATCAGAAATAAGTTGGAAGGGGCACAAAAATATTGTAGTTAACATAAATAATCTGAAAGGAGCACAAAACAGCTGAAATTAGCTGAAAGTAGCTGAAAAAAGTTTAAATTTGTACAAGGAAGCTGAAAGAAGCTGAAGCAGAACAAAATGTGAAAGGAGCAGTAAAAGGTTGTAAACACATCTAAAGATCTGAAGAATGTAAAATAAGCTTAATTTATTTTCTATGGAAAAAAATGGCCAAAAAGGCTAAATATTTCAAAAAAGCTAAAGTTGCACCAACACCAAAAGTCATAGCAGGATTGTCCTGAAAGAGCTGAACGTTTTGATTTATGATTTGTTGAAATAGCACGAAAATTGTGGAACCAGAAAGATGCTGAAAAACATAAGGAAGAAAAATAAATGACAATGCTTCATAAACATTCACACAACTAGAGCTTTTAGGACCGTCTGCAGACAGGAACATGTTGATGATGTTTTTCCTGATTCCTTTACTTTGGTGATTGTTTTTGTTTTATTCACATCTTTGTTATTTTCTATTTGTTTTTATTTTAGCTCTGCTTTTGTTTGTTTTTATAAAAACATGTAAATGTCTATTTATTGTATTTTATTTATGGAAGCAGTTAAAAAACGCTGGTGGTCAGAGCTGCGGTTTTGTAATTTGGAGGTTGCGGGTTCAAGCCCAGGGGGCATCAGGGAGGGCTTTGGGCGAGTTCACTCGCTGCGACGACCCTAAAGCATGGGTTCCCAACCCTGGTCCTTGAGGAACCCCATCCTGCATGTTTTAGTTGTTTACCTGCTCCAACACACCTGATTCAGTGATTTAATTACTTCCTCATGCTCTGCAGAAGCCCGTTAAACACCCATTAATTAAAAGCAGGCGTGTCGGAGCAGAGAAACAACTAAAACATGCAGGATGGTGTTCCTCAAGGACCAGGGTTGAGAACCCCTGTCCTAAAGAGAACAGTCGAAAGAAAGTTACTATTTATAAAAGCAAATCTTTTCATTATTTGTTTTTTTTTTCTATTTCATTCTATTCTTTGCAAACGGTGGGAGATCAAATAATCAGCCATCACGATGAGGATTTTTATTTTTAGCGTGACTTTATTCTTCTGAACGATCAAACCAGATTTCCAGCCACTAGAGGATTCGAGTGTGGCGCTCGTTGTCGCTCACGTCTGTGTGAAGAGGAAAAGCAAACGTTTAAGCGAGCGGAGCTCCACTTCTGAGCATCTCTCAGCAAACTGAGAAACACTAAACAAACATGGCTGACGTGAAGACAGGTCGACTCTGAACCAACATTTGGCTAAAGGCTGAGGAAAAGAGTCCAATGTCCTGCTGTTGTCCCTGTTTATTTCTTTGTTTGTTTGTTTTTAAATGGCACAAATGCCACAACTAAATGACCTTTAAGAACACAATAGTGATCTGAACACTGACGACTGATCAGGGTGTGGGGTTTTTGTGGTGTTTTAAATTTAATTTTTCCTGTTTTCTTCACTGTTCACTTAGTTATTAACTTTTTCTGTCACCTGTTGGAGTTCCTCACACCTGCTGCTAATTCAGTAATCACTCCTCACAGCAGGGTTAAACTTACTGGTTTTTCTCAGCCTCAGGGTTTTTGTCACTTGGGGGGTTCTTTATTAAAAGGTTTTTGGATTTAAACCTGCCTTGGCTGCACGAGTTCTCAGCCAAACCACCGCCATCATGTAAGTTGTCCCATGAGATTGTTGTAAACGTTGTTTTTAAGGTTTGACCGAAACAGCTGCAACTTCAATATCTTTAGTGATTATTTGATTATTTAAGTCTGAACCTTTGGCATGGACGCTGGTGAGCAGTGTGCATTCTTTCAAGAAATGCTGGGCTTTTAAATTTTGTTAAAGTTTATGAACCACTCACTTACTTTTGAGATCCATTTTTCGTCTGTACGTTTTTCTGCATCTTTCTCGTTCCACAACTTTAGTGATATTTCAACAAATCATAAATCAAAACGTTCAGCTCGTTCAGGACAATCCTGCTATGACTTTTGGTATTAGTGCAACTTTAGCTTTTTTTTTTATTTTTTTTTTTATTTAGCCTTTTTGGCCAGTTTGTGGTCTTGTAGAAACTGAATTGAGCTCATTTTACATTATTCAGATCTTTTTTAGATCTGTTTAGAACCTTTTACTGCTCCTTTCACATTTTGTTCTGTTTCAGCTTCTTTCAGCTTCCATGTGCAAATTTAAACTTCAGCTCATTTCAGCTAATTTCTGCAAGTTTCAGCATTTTCTGCTTTTTCGGCTACTATTTAGCTATTTTAATGCTAATTTTAGCTGTTTCAGCTAATTCCACATTTTATGCACTCATTTCAACTTTTCAGTCTAATTCAGCAAAAATGTGCTCTTTCCACTTCTGGTAATTTAGGCTTTGTTCAGCTTTTTTAGCTACTTTTCAGGTGTTTTAATCTTTTCAAATTTCATCTTTTTTTTTTCCCCAGATAATTTCCTCTATTAATTTATTTTTTTTGTGCTGATTTCTGCTTCTTTCAGCTACTACAGCAAAATTGCACTCTCTCCACTTTGTTCTGCAAATCTAAGCTTGTTTCGCATTTTCATCTACATTTTTAGCACTTTGTAGCTAATTTCAGCTGTTTTTCAGCAAGTTCTTCAGCATTAAGTATTCACACTGCATTTTTGCAGGAAATGCGATTTCTAGTTTTGTGTTTTTTAAGTTGAATTGTGCATTTTTTAAATTTGGTTAGACAATTATTACACCTATTGTTTAGGTAATAAATTTTTATTGATTTACTTGATTTACATGGGGGAGAGTGTTTGCACCAGAGCTTTAAATAACCTAAACCGCATGGAAACGGCTCAAACTTCTCTTGAACCGAGTCTCTGAGGGCTGTCTGTCCCCTCTGTCTATTTCAACCACTCCTATCTTTACAAGCTCCATGTAAACACAAAGCAGACGGAGCAGCAATGATGAATGCGGATGAGTTGGTGTGATGGAGATAAAAAAAAGAGGCTGGAACCAACTAATGAAACCTGAGACTCCATGGCTTCTCTCTGAATCATCTGCTGGAGGAGGAGCTGCAGGAACCAAAAAATGTAAAGTTCTCTCGTCTTGCATCTCTCTGCTGCTGTGTTCTTGTTCTGAAACACCTCAGGCTGTTGGCGGTGGAGTCAAGCCAGAGGTTCTTGTCCTCGGTGCAGATCTGCAAAGTGACTCTGGTCTGGCTGTTTATTTAAAGACGGCAATCCACTTTTAAAGGAGCCTTTAAATCCCTGACATAAAGAACTCAAGTTTACCTCAAACGTTTTCAGTTCTTCCTTCTCTGGGACCCAAACTCCTCTACACTTTTTTTTTATTTTTTTTTATTTTATTTTATTTATTTTTTTTAATTGTGCATATCAGGCCTGCAGGAAATATCAACAGAGAAAAATATTTGCAGATGCACTTAACTGTAAAATTTACAAGATAAATCAAAATTAATAACTAGAAAAAGATAAAACTGAATTTTTTTTTTCTTTTTCTTTTTTTTTTCATTTACCCTTTATTTATCCAGGTTAGTCTCATTGAGCCACGAGAACTCATTTTCAAGAGAGACCTGTTTAGGGAGCACATGGTGGGGTTAAGGGCCTTGCTCATGGGCCCAGAGTGGGGCGAATGAGGGTGGGGGCAAGTGTGGGTGTTTCACCTACCCCACCCACAATTTTGATGTTGTCGGGGCCGGGGCGTGAACCGGCGATCTTCGGAAACTATGAATTTATTTATTTTAAGGCTTAAACTTCACTCATGACCTTTTTTTAGACTAAGATCAGCTGTTCTGGACAAGACTTGAAAGTGCAATATTGCAAGGTGTCAGAATATTCATTGTACAGTAAATGACTCTCAGCTACTACCACATCAAATCTAGCTCACTGACTGAGTTGTAGCCATTTGTGTTGGCAAAATCAATTAGCTATGATGGCCGTCTTTTCATTGGACTGGCTCCAAAGGTAAATCAATTTTTATTTGTACATCCAGTGATTACTTCCTGAGAATTTCACTATAATATGTCTGGTGGTTTGAAATATTTTGCTAACACATAGTAGATTTAATGCTCAAGTTTTTGGCAAAAATCTGGCACCATGAGAAGTGCTTAAAATTTGTTTGGAATGGATCTCATTCACCATCACACCTAATTTTAGCATCATATTTGCAAAATTGACAGAATTATAGGTATATTTGTGTTCTAAATTGAGCTGGGTTCGCTCAAAATGTCAATCATTTGTAGATGTTTATCTTAAGATTATTTTCAGGATATATTTTGTTAAAATCTACCCAGCAGTTAATGAGATATTGCTAATAAACCGTGTTGACTTCTCATAGTTGAAGGTAAATTTTAAACAAAGTTCCTTCACAATATTTTAGTGCTCAGAATATGAGTTGACGATCAGTCTCAGCTACTACCACACCAAATTTTAAGTCGGTATCTGTAGATTTGACCAAGTTATAAACCTTTTTGTGTCTAGCATCATTTGGCTGTGGCAGCCATCTTAAATGGGGTTGACTTCAGTTGCAGACGTGAATCCATTGATTACTTGTGAGTTTCTTTGATATCAGTCCATTGGTTCATGAGATGTCAGAAAACTGGTCTTTAATGGTTTTTGATTTGTGCAGAGCAGGAAAACTGATTTATTTTACTTAAAAAAAAAAAAAATAAACATGCACAAAAATCAGTCATTTTTAATGTAAATTTATAGCTGTGCTTTAAACTCCACATGAGTTAAGACAAGAGTGTTCAAACGTTTTCGTATGTGGACCAAAACTATCAAAGTGAAACGACTCATGGGCGACAAAAATGTGAATTTAACCGTCAACGTGAACAATATTTTGGAGAAAAGACGAAAGTTTACTAATTTTGGTGGAGAAAGTTTTTTAAATTGTTGTAGAGCCAAAACATTAAAAGCCTCGTAAACGCAACGCTTATTATTTTTACTAAAATTATTTAATTTGATTTGTTGGGTCTATGTTTGTCGTTTCTTGTTTTTGGAAAGTTAATTTTAGTCTGTTCTCGGCAACAAAAGCGTAATTTGAGTAAGTGTCCTTTTTTAAAAGTGGGTCGATTATCCTTTTGGACCACGGACGGCAAAGAAGGTTGATCCAAGTTCTGAAAAATCATCCAGCTGTCAGTCGTTAAAACGGATAGTTTTGATAAAGTTGATCAACTCGTATGTAGATGATACCATGTTATATTAATAATAATAATAATAATAATGTCATCACAATGTCAGCACTGTATGTTTCCATACAATGGCGAAATTAGTCTCTGCATTTAACCCATCCACCACCAGGTGGTGCAGTGGGCAGCTATTGAAAGCGCCCGGGGGACATTTTGGGGATATTAATTTTAAAATGTCAATTTCCCTCTTAATTATTTTATCAACTGCAATATTTACCCAAATTTTATGAATTATCCAAAAGTCTCTTCGATAGAAATCAGTAAAGGGTTTTGGTGCTTTGTACCATGAAGTGAAAATAAAAAAAGATTATAGCCAAAGATTTGTATTTTGCTTACTGCTCATTTTGAGAACATTGTTTTGCTGTTAAACCTAAATATTATATATAAAAAATGAATTGCCAACGAAAGGAAGTCTGCATCAATCTCTTAAGCCTGCTGGACAAAATGATACCTTTCTTAAACTGCAGTTGTGGGCCGCACAAAATCACTCCCAAGGGCCGCAGATGGCCCGCGGACCGCACTTTGGACACGCTTAAGAGGTTAAAGTTTAAGACTTTGATCTATAACGTGTTGTCTATTGTTGCCTGCACCTTCGATCTCCGTCTGAAGCTCTGCCTTCAGAGCAGATCTTCCTCTCATCTCGGTCGTCTTTTCTTCTGATCCTCTCCAGACTGAAGGCAGCTGTGGCTGCTGGCTAGCTCGGAGCTGTGGGAGGCGGCAGCAGCCAGCAGGGAGGAGCTCCAACATCTGGAAAAGGAAAACTGGCAGAGGAATGGAGAGGAGAAAGCTGTTGCAGTGTTAGCAAGAAGACTCTGTAAATATCCGTTTTATTTAAAAGAAACTTGAAATGATGTTCTGTAGTTCACTTGGAAGTTATCTGAAAGGTAAAACCGAGCAGGACGGAGGCAACGGTTAAAAAGAGGGGACTGCTGTTTGAGTTTGAACCCTCCGGGCCTCTCCTGATGTCAGGGCGTGACTCAACATGTGGGAGCCGCCTGCACGAGGAAAAACGGGGAGGGAGGTAAATCACTGGCTGAGCTGGTCTCATAGACCTCAGATTCAACCTGGAGTTGGCTCCAGTCGGCCTCCACGGCTCGCTTTGTTGTCGACATTTTTTTTTTTTTTTCATTTAGCCTTTATTTATACAGGTTAGTCTCATTGAGCCACGAGAACTCATTTTCAAGAGAGACCTGTTTAGGGAGCACATGGTGGGGGTTAAGGGCCTTGCTCATGGGCCCAGAGTGGGGCGAATGAGGGTGGGGGCAAGTGTGGGTGTTTCACCTACCCCACCCACAATTTTGATGTTGTCGGGGCCGGGGCGTGAACCGGCGATCTTCGGATCACAAGCCCACCTCTCTAACCTCTGCGCCACCACTCCATCGTGCCTCTTCGGTGAAATAGTCGTGAGTTTTTAACTTAGGCTGAAAATATGTTGCACAAATTAAAGGTTTCCTACTTTTAAACAGTAGTCAAAGCATTTAAAAAAGCAAAAAAAAGTGTATGCATCATTTATGATTGTCCATTATTGTCATCACTCTTTGTTAAAATGCAGGTCTCTCTTGTAAATGAGTTCCCGAGGCTCAATGGGACTAACCTGTATAAATAAAGGGTGAATGAATGAAAATTAGGGTTAAAAAAAACTGAAGGGATGCAAATTAAACAATGTATTTGTAAACCAAACCAAAAGTGACAAAAGGCAGTTATGCATAAATCTGTGGTAAGATCTCACTCAGCTTGTCAATTCAGTCGGGTTTAAAATCTGTTTCTCAAAAACTGAGGTCCAGTCCAATGAATACTTTGAGAATTTCATTAGAATCGGTTCATTCATGAGATCTTCTCCTAAAGGTTCAGTTAAACGTGCAAAAACAATGTCTTATAAACGAATCTTAAAAATTTTAACTCATGTTCTGTCTCGTTACAAGCACAGATTTAATGGGAATTTGCGAGATGGACAAACGCAAAATGGTTCATAACCGTGAAGTTGAAGGAAAACCATACGTGGTTTCCAGTTTAAAAAAAATAAAAAATAATCCTCTTTACTCGGACTCAAACCATCCAGGAGACACTTACAGTAATTGTCAAACTAAGTCCACATGTATGTAATTTAGTCTATATAAAAACAGCTGTTCTGTGAAGGCTCAAGAGGTGATCATTCAGCATCATGAAGACCAAGGTGCACATCAGACGGGTCATGTATAAGACTGTTGAGAAGTATACTGCAATGTGCATGCTTTGAGATTAAAAAAAAAAAAAAAAAAAAAAATTTCTAAAAGATTAACTGAGATTTAAATCGCAGACAGTCCTCTGGCCCATTGGAGCTGGAGCTGGCCACGTTCTGGATGTGAGCTTTGAAAAATTAGGCAAGCATCACAAAACCAAAAGACATGGAGCAAAACTCAGCAGGGTTGAAGTTGAGCTTGGTACCATATTTTCCGGCATACATGTTGCAACGCCATAAAAGTCGCATCAGTCCAAGTATGTCTAATAAAATGGAAAAATCCATAAATATGTCGCATCTATTATGCATCACCGCTGACGAGCCGGAAATGTGGGCCGGTGTTGTGACAAAAATCAATTGGCTGCCAAATGGCGGCCGCGGGAACGTGTACGGGAGGATTTTTATCAAGAATAAAACTTAAATTGTTTGATTGACATAACAAAGGTGTGTCTCAGTTGAACTTTTACTTAATAAATGCACTTCAATGGTAAAATCTGCATTTCACCGGGGCGGCGCAGCAAAATGAAGATAATTTGACGGTTGCTCCAGGTGAGCTGGACGAATGTGGCAGGCTATGACAAGCCAATTGTCATTAATAGCCACTTTTTACATGACACAATGGCATGCCATACTACTAGAGCGCCATCTAGCAGTTGAAAATGGTAATGTTCGATCAATTTTCAGTCAGGACATCTGGACAGTTAATTTTTTTGTTTAAACATTTCACCTTCCATCCAGAAGGTTTCATGAGTCAAGGAAACGCACGTTTTCCTTGACAGCACCATATTTTTTTGGACTATAAGGCACACCGGATTATAAGGCGCAATATCAACAAACGGGTCTCTTTTCATACATAAGGTGCACCAGATTATAAGGCTCACTGTAATGGTCAGCAGCCCCCACTGTCCTGTCATCTGCTCACGCCTCTGCCCCTCATGCCATTGTGTCCCTGCTGTGTTTTGCTTATCACCCATCCATCATTGCTCACATCAGCTCCTGTCAGTCAACCGTTTCCCATGCCCCCTCAGCCTAAGCACAGCAATCAGTCTTCATTCCATGCACCTGTTCAGCTCTCTATTTAAGCTCCATGCTCTCTCTCTGTCCCGGCCAAATTATTATACCTTCCATGGTCCCTGATGGTAAAGCCATTCATAGTATCCCGTTTCCTCTTGAACCCTCGTATGTTGTTTGACTCCTCACTTCGCCTGACCCTTTTGGATTTAATCTGCTCATCTGACCACGATTTCTGACTCTGCGCCTTCCCCTTTGACTACACTTTAGGATCATGACGAGACTCTGATTTCTGTTCTCTGCATCCCCGTCAGGTCTCTCTTGTAAATGAGTCCTCGAGGCTCAATGGGATTTGCCTGTCTAAATAAAGGTTGACTGATTGAATGCTTCCCCGTCCTTGACCCGCACTACAACCATTGGACCATGTATCTGGATTTCCCCTGCCTGGATCACGTCTTCAGTTTGCCCCACTGTAGCAGCTCACTCTGCATGAGTGATGTCACCAGCTACAGATCAACAGCACCTGCCACATTACAAGACTGAGAAGGTTAGTGACTTCAACAATAATCCACGAAACCTCCTCGTCCTGGTTAAAGTCACTAACCTCTCTGTCTTTAAGATTGGACTCCCGCCTGGACCCTGACTCTTCATCCAGCAGCCATATAAATAAAAACTGTTCTTGTTTTTGCACTCCTGTGTCTGACTTCTATTAAATCCAAAACCCGTTCTTGACATGAACTGTTGAATTCTGGAAAAAAAATTAAAGGTGCACCTTAGAGTCCGAAAAATATGGTAATCAGATGAAACGGTCATGGAATTGTTAGTCTGAGAGCTGAAAAGCCAAATTAAAAATATGCCAAGTTAGTGGAGACAGACCAAGCAACCAGCAGACAGTCTGACTCATGTCACCAGGAGAACAGACACAAGTATAAGCTAGTTTGAGTTTAGCTGATTCAGTCTGTGAACAACAGAGGAAAGTTGAGATACTTTCATGGTTTTTTTTTTTTCTAAAATGATGCCCTTCTTTACGCCGTGCTAATTATATGTTACTGTCTGTTAAGCTTCCAGTCATGAAAAGTCAGTAATTATCACTTTTCTCCTTTTTTTCACTCATTTCTTATACTTTTTTTTTTTTGTTTGTTTTGCTCTTTGTAGGTCAAAATATCTAAGAAATATACATTTTTACTTGCAGTACAAGCTTTGCCCTAGTTTGTACAGCAGAGGGATGAACATCAACAGAGCAGAAGTCCCGACATCCCACCGTTCTTCAGGACAGAAGGTTCTTTCTTCTCCGGTCCCCCCCAGTCCTCCCCTACAGGCCACAGTTTGTCAGCCAAGCTGCCCACCGTTCGCTGAGGAAATGTTCACTTAGTGCAGGAAGTCTGAGGTTTCACTCCCTACATTTGATTTTAGCTGTTAGCCAAACAGCACCGGGGTTAAGCGACAGGTCGGAACAACATAGGTGGGAATTAAACCCAGAGGAGCTGAGAAACCTCACTTCACCTGTTCATGGTGACAGCAAAGGCTTAATCTTTATATATTTGCTCACTTGAGTTTTGTAGGGGTCATATTTGACTTCAAATTAAATCACACTGATGGTTAGGTCTATTGGCCTCTAAACTAGAATTAATAGTAATGTGCAAGCTTCGACTTCTTAGTATCCCAGAAAAAGGGTTGTAAGCTCAGTCATCCAGGGAGATGACGACAAAAATGTTAAATCGTGTCATCTGGACCAGTTTCTTTTGGATAGATGTGGCTTACTTCTGTGATTCCAACAGGAGGTTGGCTTGAAACACAGTGAAGGCTACCTGTGGGACAGATCTGGTTGGCAGGGCACAGACTAAGTCCCCTGGATGGGTGACAAAACATTTCTCACTTAAAGAAACTGGTCCACATGACATGATTGAATCTTTTTTTGTTCTTGGCATCCTGTAAAAAATAAAACTTCATCCTGGTTCTTGTTGTTCAGTTTTTTTTTTGTTTTTTTTTTTAATAAAACGTGTAAATTTTACGCTGAAACTTGTGGCTTGATCAGGAAGTTTGCTACAATTTCTTGAGGCGGTTAGACACAGTCACACGTTTTACAGAAAATTCACTAAAAAACTGACTATCAATGCAATTTTGGCAAAGGTGATGCAAAAACCCTGTCAACTTTAGAGCTCTGAAGTTCAGGTAGACGTCACAGTAGAAATCAATCATCTGTTCCGGAGTCGGGTCACGAAGGCAGCAGCTTGAGCAGGGAGGTCCAGACATCTCTTTCCTCAGCCACCTCTTCTGGGAGGACCCCAAGGTGTTCCCAGACCACCAGAGACACTTCTCTATGTCCTGGGTTTTCCTCGGTGTCTCCTCCCAGTCAGACAGGACCATAAACCTCATTGATGTGGAGGTGCAGCGGCTCTACTCCAAGTCTCTCCTGGATAATGAAACTTCTCACTCTACCTTTTTGGGAGAGTCCAGCTCTCCTGCAGAGAAAACTGATGGTATCTGATCGTATTTTTTCACTAGTCAGAGTTTGTGACCATTGTTGAGGGTAGGAACACAAACGAAGCTGCCTCTTCACCACAATGGACCAGAACGGAGTTTGCAATACTGCGGAAGCTGCACTGATATTTTCGAACTCACACCCTTTGTGGAAAAAAACCCTGATGTACTTGAACTCCTCTCCTTGTGGCAGCACCTTACCTCACCTCCCAACCTGAAGAGAGCAATCCACCTTTTCTGACCGAGGACCACGGCCTCAGATTTGGAGGTGCTGATCCTCATCCCAGCTGCTTCACACTCTGCTACGAATCACTTCAGCACCAGCTGGAGATCACAACACTAAAGCCAGACTGGATCGTCCACAAAAAGAAGAGACTAAATCCTGAGGCCACCAAACTGGACCCCTTGGCTGCACCAAGAAACTCTGAAACAGAGAGGGTCCAACTAACAGGGGTGCAGCATCTTAAAACTAAGCTAATTTGATTTTTAGCTCAAATTATTCCCTTTAAAGCAAAAACGTATAAAGTATTGTTAATATGTCATTAAACACAGTTGAAACTAAAATTTCAGATGTTGGACAGGGAGTGTAAATAATTAAGATCTGACTTTTAGTTTCCACGCAACGACTGTTAGTTTGAGGCTTATTTTTCAGTCTGTTATTGTCTGCCTCATTAATTGGCCAACAGGGAGTGACAGACACGAAAGTGGTTACCATAGTGACCATAATGAGCCACTGGTAGCATCTTTAACAGGGTTTTTTTTTTTTTTTGGTTCACTTTACACGTCCTTACATCAAAACATAGGTTGTTTTATTTTTTAGATTATTGCAAAATCATGTTTGAGTTTTAGATAATAGATGCACCTTTCAAAACTTCAGACATTTTCTGCTTTTTAACTTTTACGTCAAGAGTGGAAAATTGTTTGATATTGTTCACAAATAAGAATAAGACTTCAGCAGATCTGATGCATTTTACTGTTTTACATAAATTGAGGTTTTCCACATCAAGCTCCTATAGAATTGTTTTACATTTTCTTCACATATTTTAGACTAAGGTGGCAGTACATCTTAAAACTACATATTACAACACGCCCAAGAGTAAAAACTAAACTTTGACACTGAAAAACACTACAGGGGGAAAAAAAAGGAAAACGTATTGCACTTCATGTGCACACTATCATAACAACGTGCACGTAATTCACACACTGAATGGTTTTCAATGCATAATATATTGGGAGTGAAGTAATTTTATGCACCGTAACAACAACCTGCAACCTTTATTACAAGAGTTCACATCTTTGGAATTGGGGTTCTGTGGAGCAGTTGCGCACAATTAATATCTTACCGGTTGTAGATATATATTTTTTTGAACAGCTTGAACAGATGGATGAGCTAATGGCTTTTAAACTGAGGTTGATCAAAGAGATTTACAACAAGATATTATTTGTTTGTAACCTTTTTTACAAAACGGGTCTTCAAAACACCCGAAGAACCAACGTCCTAACTTTGGAATCACGTCCCCACAAAAAAGAAACGTGACCAGCACCAGTATCCCCAATAAAACGACACTGAAACACAGAAATACCAGTTCGCTGCTGTTGTATTTCAACCCAGAATCCAATTAAATATTACGATTTGTAATTATTAGTCCAGTTTAAACTAATTTTCAAACTGTTCATAAAATCCTTGATCACTTATTAGCACAATATTGTAATAACTTTTGGCTGATGTGCAAAAAAAGAAAACTACCTTATTTTTTTGACTATAAGGTGCACAGGATTAATTTTTCACTGTTAATTTTGAGAAAATTAAAGGGTTTTAAGTGCACCTTATAGTCCGAAAAATATGGTAAATAAAAATGAAAGCTGTCTAATCTTTAAACCAGTGGTTCCCAAAATCGAGGTCTGGACCCCACAGTGGCTCAATAACCAAATTAATTAAATGTCTAAAGTTATTGCTAATGGTGTAATTTTCACTATTATTGTTGCACTAATAAACAAATGAATATGGCAGTTTCAGAATTATGAACTGTGTTTACAGGGTTACATCCGTTTGTTTACTTGAGCTGGTAAAATCTGAGGTCACGAGCCTCTGATGCTGATATTTTGTTGATTGGACATTGAAAAGTTTTGGGGCTGCTGCTTTAAACTGGTCTGAAAATGATGATGCACCAAGAGGATCAGGAGGAGGAGGAGACCCTGCACTAATGTGAAGATCCACTGTTGTCCTGCAGGGGATGCAGTGGGCAAAACTCTTAGTGCAGTTTCTTCTTGGACATCTGGGCCAGCTCCCTGGCTTTCCTCCTCTTCAGCTTCTTTTTGAGGAGGAGCAAGTCGATGTAGACGATATGATCCAACACTGAGGAGGCGCAGAGGAGCCCTCCATGCAGGGCGCCTGCTATCCCACAGCTGAACACATCTTGACCTGGAAAAGACACGTGCAACATGACCAAGATACTATTCTTACAAAAACAGAGACACAAACATTGGAGCAAAAACTGATAATTAGGGGATAAACTCTTTACACTGGAGTTGAGTTATTTAAGGGCTTCCAGAGAGATTTCTGTGCCTGTGGCGTCTCCTTGTGGCAGATGCTTCCTACCTGAGATGTAGAGGTTCTCAATGGGCGTGCTGCACCGGTTCCTGGCTACGGCCTCGGCGTAGAACCGTTCCAGGTTGTGTTCAGAAGAGTACATGGCTCCACGCTGAGAGCCCAGGTAGTGCATGTTGGTCAGCGGGGTCGCTACGTCCTGAAAAACCAGCTGAGGAATGGTCCAGACAAAGGGTTAGCTAAAAAAAACTGGTTTCAGCTGAAATGCTTTGAATGTTGCTGAACAGTGAATGAAAAAGCTAAAATATTCAGGACAAAGCTATTATTAGCAAAAAATGAGCAGAAACTAACAAAAAAAACTACAAGATAAAATGATAAACATTTAAGAGATTAAATTGGCAAAACAAAAGTTGAAATCATAAAACAGCACAACAGCTGAAATACAAAATTAAACAAACTAAATAGTATTTAACAATTAAAACTGCTATAATGGCAGTTAATGAGCAAAACGATTAACTTATATTTATTGAAACATTAACAAAAAACTTATTAGCAAAACGTATATGAAAGGGAAATTTAGCAAAGCAGTTGAGTTTAAATAAGTAGCTAAAAGCTATATTTAGCAAAACAGTAGCTAAAAAACGTCATTGGTAAAACACCCCAACTAGCTTAACTATGGCAAAAAGCTGTTATTTTGAAAACTGCAGCTGAAAGCTAAGTAGAAAAAAGCAGCTGAAAGCTAAAATTTGAAAAATAGCAGCTAAAAGCTAAAATTAGAACAGCAACTAAAGGCTAAAATTAGGAAAACGGTAGCTAAAAGGTAAAATTGGAAAAGCAGCAGCCAAAATTAGGAAACCAGTAGCAGCTAAAAAATATGCAAATGCACTTGGGTTTCAAACGGCACACTTTCTCACTGATGATCTGAAGAGTTCTGTGTACTTCTAGAAGCAAAGAAGTAAAGAAAAGGTAAATAATTCAAAAAGTATAACAGTTACAGAAATCAAAAGATACAGCTGATGTTCCTAACGAGCTGAACGTTTTGATTAAAACAGCTGAAAGTATTTAAGTAGTTGGTTAATTTAACCCAATGGAAGAAATTGAAAACAGGAAAACTGAGTCAGCGTTCACACAAACAGTCTGCACATAAACAGAAGCTTAAACATGTTCCAGTAAACCGTGTGTGACGGGTGTGCAGAGGTCAGACCTTGTCTTTAATTTTAGGGAACAGGGTACAGGCCCAGTCAAAGAGGTTCTTAGCAAATCTCATTTTGTAGTCGTAGTAGTCGTCACCCCGTTTGCGCACCGTGGTGTCCTTCCACTCTTCAAACCACTCGTACTTGACCATGGTCAGGATGGTCATGCAGGATTTCCCTGAAGGCATCAAACAAAATGAGTCACTCTTATGTGTTAAATCAGATCCAGTCTGCTTCATTTACCTTTTCTAAAAACTAAAATCCTGTCAATAACAGCAGTGAAACAGTGTTTGTGTACCTGGGTGTCTTAGTTTGGCCTCGGGGTCTTTGGCAGAAGGAACTGTGATGAACATCATGGGGATGTTCTCTGGCGCCTCCTCTTTACTCAAAGCAAAGAACTCCTCCATCCTAACAAAACATTCAATATTTCCACAAAAAAAGGGTTTTATGCAAACTAAGAGGAAATGTGTTGTGCATGAGCAGGTTTTAGTTCCTTTCTTATACAATGGCGCCACCTTTGGGTTGTGGAATTATGTTTTAATGTTCAGCTGCTTACGATTTATCCATGTCGTTGTTTTTGAACAGCCAGATGTTAGTGGACACCAGGTCCAGTTCCTCCTCTGTCCCATCAAAACCAGAGAAGACCAAGATCGATCCTCTGCCGTGTTTCATCGAGTTCACTCGTGTTTGCACGTCTGCAGAAAACATTAGTTTAAGATTGTGGGGAAACCTTTCCGCTTCACCTCAGCGTGAGGCCGGTGCTCACCCTGTTTGTCTCGGACCTCAGGTGGGAGAAGCTTCTGGAAGGTGTTGAAGACGCCGCAGTTGGAAACCACCACAGGAGCATGAACCTCCACGTCCTCCTGACCTTTCCTCACCTTCACACCTGCCGCACACACACATACAAACACACACACACCAGACATAAAGTATTGTTTTCTATGGAAGTGTGGTTCTGTGGAAGAGCTGTGAACAATTAATATCTTACCGGTTGTAGATGGCACTTTGAAATGCCTAATTTGGGGAAATTAAAGTTTTATTTTTGACCGAATGAGGTTAATGAAGAGTTGTGCCGAAACCAAAACTAGAGTAAATTGCTGCTCTTTTAAAACAACTCCAAACATTATAAACCTTTACAAAGCAGTCAAGTTTGCAATAAATGGTTCCCATTAACCACCATGACAAACAGGCAGCCTGTTTTGTCAGCAAAATATCTCTTGAACCACCGAAAGGGTTTTACTGCCTCTCAGAACGTAATCATTGGATGTACATCTACAGCTGATCAACTTTAGGAGTCAACCCAATTCAAGATGGCGGTGTTGTAGCCAAAGCTAAAGGCTGTTGTAGCAGCGGAGTCATCCTGACATATTCTTGAGTGCTTACAGATCGTGATATATTTTATTTTAAACAACGGCTTGAAAGTAATACTTTCCAAATACAGTAGTCCCTCGCTACTTCGCTGTTCGCTTTTCGTGGACTCGCTCTATCGCTGTTTTTCAAATTAAGATTGGACATGACGCAATTGGCTGATTGATGGACGAGCCGCACGATCATCATGTAATTTTTATTTCAAATAAATTATTTAAAATTATTAATTTACTTGCTACACCTGTGTGCAGCCCACAGCTGCAGGAAAAGCTTCCTCATGCAGCGTGTCAGATCTCCGCTCTGCAGCAGAGAAGTGGGCGTGGCCAACAGCGCTAACAGGTGTCAGAGTGCAGTAGGAGGCATGCTGTGATCTTTTAGAGCGTTTAGAGTTTAGAAACATTGTTGAGAATATTGCAAGAGTGTGGGAAGGGTTTACACACACACACACACACAATATATCTACTTACTACTTGTACTATTACCTCTACTTCATGGTTTTTCACTTATCACGGGGCTTCAGGGTACTGATCCCCCGCGATAAACGAGGGACTACTGTATAATTCAAAATTATTTGTAAGGGCAATTAGCAGCAGCTAGCTGTAGCACTTTCCCTGCAGCATGGGGTAGATTTTGCAGTAATGTTCATTCAACCTTTATTTAGACAGGTTACTCCCACTGAGCCTCGAGGACTCATTTAAAAGAGAGACCTGATATGTAATGTGCATACATACAGACTTGAATGTAAAAGTTATGCTAGAATAACCATGACATGAGAAACTTACGGCAGCTTTAATGCTTAAGAATATAAAATTTGCATGAGCAGCTATAACATTATTATTTTTTTTAATTGGAGCCATTTTAAGACAATAACCCATTCTGGTCTTGACCCCACTCAGATTAGTTGTCAGTCAAAATTAAACTACTTCTCCAAACTGAGACTGCTTATAGACCTATCCACAACAGGTAAGATATTATTTGCTCATGACCCTTGATCCCCCACTAGGTGATCTTCTCACCATAAGCTGCTCCCTTCTCATTAACCAGGATCTGGGAGACAGGAGCTCTGACCAAGCAGTTCCCTCCGTACTTCTGAATAGTGCGGATGATGTGGAAAGCGATCTCACTGGCACCTCCTTTGGGGTAGTAGGCTCCTCGTTTGTAGTGATGAAGCAGGAGGGCGTTGATCAGAATACTGGATTCTTTTGGAGGAACTCCTACATAGAATAAAACTAGCACTTTAGTTTTGATGAAGGGAGCGTTCGTCACTTCTGTCAATGTTCTGCACAGTACACCTATTAATGACCCACCATAGAAAAAGTAAGAGAAGATGATTTGCAGATCCTTGTTTTTGGTCAGCGTGTTCATGAAATCCGTGGCACATGTTCCAGAGAGGCGGAAGACCGGCGAGACAAGATTTGCAATTCCTGATTTCAGCAGAAACAAAGCGATCCACTGAGGGATCAGCTTCAGAGTCGCCAAATAATGAGTCTTCTTCGCTGAAATCTGTCGATTTAAGCTAAAAAATAAGTGCCCAGTCGGGGTAAATGTTGAACTTTATTGTGTCTGCCTTCTAAATACCTTCATGATTTTGAAGAATGTCTCAATGGCCTCCTCCTCAGCAGGGAATTGTTTAAGCAAGTGTGTTTTCATCTCATTTTTCCCAGAGAAAATGGTGTACTCCCGTTTGTCTTCTTCCAGGCCGATGTGGATGGTGTCAAAGTGCTGATTCAGCTTCTGAAACTCCAGCTGGCCCTCGGTGATCTGATCGAAGGCGATTCGTAGCAGACTGTTCTCGTGGACCTGACCGATGTAGTGAAGACCTGGAGATGGAGAGGCAGGGTTACTGTGGGTGGTGGATTTAGATGAAGCCTTTGTTTTGTCAAAAAAGCACGCACAGTTAGGTTTAATTGATAAAATGAACATATGTTTCTGCTGTACAACATAAATACTTTACAAATATTACATTCGTCCTCAAAAATAGCTGTTTTATTATGAAAACTTTGTTGCTTCTGTAGCCATCTGTTGAATAGAATAGAAACTGCCTTTATTGTCCCCCGGAGGGGAAATTCAAGTGTAACAGCAGCAGATATAAAGGATCACACAAAAACTTCCTAAAATGTAAAACAATGTAAAAAAACAAAAAGATAAACAATGATATACTATACAAGACTATAATAGAAAATACTGTGCAGTTACTGTATTTTCCGGCCTATAAGTCGTATCAGTCTAAATATGTCTTAACAATTTGGAAAAATCCATTAATATGTTGCTTCACCATATAAGTCGCACTTATTATACGTCACCACTGATTCGTCACGTTTGTTGCACGTCACCGCCCAGAAATGTGGGCCGGTGTTGTGCCAAAAATCGATTGGCTGCCAAATGGCAGGAGCATGCACGGGTGGACTTTAACAATAATTTAACAAGACTAACAATTATTTGTTTGCTTGAAATTATAGTAAAGGTGTGTCTCAGTCTAACCTTTGCTTAATAAATGCACTTGGACGGTCAAATCAGCTGCATTTCAAAAGCCGATTTGCTGAAACGGGAGTGCGCAGAGGGATGACTTGCTGTGCATTTCTTCAAAATTTAACAAGATAATCACCTAAAACAGTTGTTTGTTTGCTCGACATTATATTAAAGATGTGTCTCAGTTGAACTTTTACTTAATAAATGCACTTCAATGGTCAAAGTGGCTTCATTTCTCCAGTGCAGCGCAGCAAAATTAAGCTGATTTAACCGTTGCTCCAAGAGAGATGGACGAAGGTGGCAGGCTATGGCAAGCCGATTGTGTCATTAATAGCCACTTTTACCTATTACATGACATGGCATGCCATACTATTAGAGTGCCATCTAGAGGCTGAAAATTGTAGTGTTCAATATTTTCAGTCATAATGAATGAAAACGGTCATATCTCAGCGAACAATTGGTTTATAAATATGAGGAAAAAATTCATAAATATGTCGCTTTGGCATATAAGTCACTGGGCATGTAACTTAGGCAAAAAGGTGTGACTTATAGGCCAGAAAATACGGTAGTAACTTTTGCTCAAATCCTGTGCTCTTGTTCCCATTGTTCTCATCGATGGTGTTAGTTGTGACTTGTGCAAAATATTTCTGCAAACAAAATTGATCATGAAATAATATCATAGGTTGTTTGTATAAATTAAACTGTGCAGTTAGTAAAAAACACACAAAAAAGCTGAAATAATTATGCTAATGACAGAAAATCAACCGTCTCCGTCCATCCCTCTCCCCGCACTCTGCTTCCATCCTGGTCCATAGCTTGGTCATTTCTCAAATTGATTACTGCAACTCTCCTATTTGGTCTGCCACAAAAATTACTCCGTAAGCTTCAAATGGTTCAAAATTCAGCTGCCCGCATCGTTAACAAAACCCCCTCATTTCACCACATCACCCCAGTTTTACAGCAACGTCACTGGTTTCCAGTCACTTTCAGAATTCAATTTAAAATCCTGTTGTACACATTCAAGGCCATCCATAACTTCTCCCCTCCCCATCTGTCCCATCTCCTGCACATTATCACCCATTCACACTCCCTTCGTTCTTCCTCTTCCATCCATCTCAACGTGCCTCTCGTCCGCCTCAGCACCATGAGACTTTTCTCACTCTGCTCCCCAACTCTGGAACGCTTTCCCCCCAGACATCTGTAATATTGACTCTGTTCAGACCTTCAAATCACAACTCAAAACTCATCTGTTCATAGCTTTCTCACTTTAATTTTTTGTTTTCTTCTTGGTTTAGTGTTTTTAAAGCCATTTTGTATTGTTTTATTTAGTTTTAATGTTGTGAAGTGTCCTTGGGTGTATTGAAAGGCGCTAACAAATAAAATGTATTTATGATTATTATTATTATTATTTTATTATGCTATTCTTTTTTTATTCTTTTTTTAAATTATTTTATTTTAATTGTTTTCTTATTTTTTTATTTTATTTTAATTATTTATTTTTATTATTTTTTTATTATTATATATATAT